ATGGCTCCCCTAGTCGCTAGGATAGCAGCAATCGAGGAGCTTGTGGCGAATCACATTTCACCACCACCAGCAGTAGCCGAAACCGCCATTTCTCAAGAAAATGGGACAACCAAGTTTCAGAAGGACAAGAAAGGGAGTGATGAGAGAGGGCACGTCAGAGACAAGGGTAAGAACAAGAGACCCTTGTATCGACCTCAGCAGCAACAGCAGAGCCCTTATAAGAAGGGATCCCAACAGGACCAGAGAGAAAGTCAGCAGCACAAATTCCGGGGATCTTGTTTTAACTGGGCGAAGAGCTCTGTTAATCCCGATGGTTGACTTCTCAGTGGAGTGAACGGGACACGAAGGGTGCTGCTTCAATTGCGGTGATCGCGGGGTTTTCGGTCAACCCGTATCCCCGTAATTCTGACATTCTGTCGGCTTACGTAGTCCGTCGGTTCGCTTCAGGTGCTCACCGGCGTCATTTGAGCTCTTGTGAACTGGGTAGCGTCGTTCGATCGTCGATCGTTAACACCGAGCTGTGAGTGGGGACCTATCGGCAATTTTCGATGCCTACAGATACCCCCTCCAAAGTGTTTCGGACTCGTTTCTTTTATTAGACTCCAGCGTGTAGCTCAGCCACTAGACACCCCTTTATCAGTTTTTACCCCTTTAGGTGCGGTATCGCTTCTGGAGAGCGTTTGTAGGAGGTGTACCGTCAGTTTAGACGAGTCGGAGTTTATAGTCGATTTGATAGTGTTGCGTATGTCCGAGTTCGATGTCAATCTTGGTATGGATTGGTTGTCTTCCTACCATGTTAGCATTGACTACTTTGCGTAGACAGTCAGGTTGCGAGCGTCCGACGGGTCCGAGAGCGGAGTCATTTCTGGCGTACATCGAGGAGGTGATGCGACGGGATCAGGGTGCTGAGTTATTAGAGACTAGAGTTGTCTCAGAGTATCAGGAGCACCAACTGAGATGAGGGAGCTTCAGACCCAGTTGGACGAGTTATTAGCTCAGGGTTTTATTCGCCGGAGTCATTCTCCGTGGGGCGCACCGGTCCTCTTCGTGAAGAAGAAGGACGGTAGTATGAGATTATGCATAGATTATAGAGAGCTGAACAAGGTCACTATCCGGAATAGGTAACCACTACCTAGGATTGATGACTTGTTTGACTAGTTGCAGGGTGCGCAGTATTTCTCGAAGATTGATCTTCGTTCTGGCTATCATCAGTTGCGGGTTCGGGAGATGGATATTCCCAAGACCGCCTTTCTTACTCGATATGGTTCTTTCGAGTTCTTGGTCATGCTATGTGGGCTGACCAATGCACCCGCGGTATTCATGGACTTGATGAACCGGGTTTTCCGTCCCTTCTTAGATCAGTTCGTGATCGTTTTCATCGATGATATTCTCATTTACTCGAGGTCGGAGGCGGATCATGAGGAGCATCTACGGATAGCATTGAGGACTCTTCAGGAGCATCAGTTGTATGCCAAGTTCAGCAAATGCGAGTTTTGGTATCAGAGAGGGCACGTCATCAGTAGAGAGGGCATAGCAGTGGACCCGGCTAAGGTCACGGCAGTCCTTGATTGGGAGCCACCGAAGACGGTGACAGAGATTCGCAGCTTTTTGGGCTTAGCTGGCTGGATATTATAGGAAGTTTATTCAGGACTCCTCGAAGATTGCGACGCCTATTACGCACCTTTCGAAGAGGGGTGTACAATTCGTATGGAGCATGGAGTGCCAGAAGACCTTTGATATTTTGAAGACTAAGTTGGCTACAGCGCCGGTTTTGACCATTCCGAGTAACGACATGACATTCGTCGTATATGCAGATGCCTCGTTAGCAGGCTTAGGAGGCGTATTGATGTAGACTCAGAGAGAGGTAGCTTATATCTCACGGCAGTTGAGGGTGCATGAGCAGAACTATCCCACTCATGATTTGGAGTTGGCAGCAGTGGTATTTGCACTGAAGTCTTGGAGGCACTACCTATATGGGGTGCAGTTTGAGTTATTCACAGATCACCAGAGTCTGAAGTACCTCTTTTCCCAGAAGGAACTCAACCAGAGACAGAGGAGATGGAATGAGTTGATTAAGGACTACGAGTTCGCGATCCAGTATCATCCGGGGAAGGCGAACGTTGTAGCAGATGCATTAAACAGGAAGCGTCGACATCAGATTTTAGCTTTGAGGTGTTCATTGCATCGGGATCTTATCACTCTTAGCCAGTTTGATTTTAGACCCGAGATTAGAGGAGCCAGTGCATTTTTGGGAGCTGTGACAGTGCAACCATCTTGGAGTGACAGAGTTGTCAGGGCTCAATTGGAAGACTCTTGGATTCAAATCCGAAAGGAGGAGATTTCCAAAGAGCCTAAGACTGATTGGACCATCGGAGCTGATGAAGGTCTACGGATGAAGGGTAGATTGGTTATGCCAGCCAGTACAGAGCTGAAGAGGGAATTATTTGATGAGACACACCGTACTCGGTACACAGTGCATCCAGGAACCACCAAGATGTACAAGGAATTGAAGAGACACTTTTGGTGGAGCGGTATGCGTAGAGAGATTGCAGAGTTTGTGGCTAGATGTTTTACCTGTCAACAGGTGAAGGCAGAGCATCAGAGACCGGCAGAGACACTTCAGCCTTTACCCATTCCAGAGTGGAAGTGGGCAGACATTTCTATGGATTTTATTATGGGATTGCCAAAGTCGAAGAAGGGGAATAATTCTATTTGGGTGATTGTGGACCGGTTGACGAAGTCAGCACATTTTATCCCGGTGAAGACTATTTATACAGCCGAGGCTTATGCGAGGATCTTCATTCGTGAGATAGTTCGACTCCACGGAGTTCCAGACACAATCGTATCGGATCAAGGCTCGGTTTTCACTTCACATTTTTGGAGGAGTTTCCATCGGCAGCACACTATCTTATAGCAGTGTATTTCACCCCCAGACGGATGGCCAGACGGAGAGGGTGAATCAGGTACTGGAGGACATGTTGCGGGCAAGTGTCATTGACTTCCAAGGCAGTTGGGAGGACCATATCCCACTGGTAGAGTTCGCTTATAACAATAGTTATCAAGCGACGATCGGTATGGCCCCGTATGAGGCACTGTATGGGAGACCTTGTAGATCACCGATATGTTGGGCCGAGCCGGAGGACAGCTTGATGCTTGGGCCAGAGTTAGTGAGGCAGACTACTGAGAAAGTAGCCTTGATCAGAGAGCGGATCTTAGCCGCTCAGAGTCGGCAGAAGAGCTATGCGGATAAGAGGCGGAGACCCCTAGAGTTTCAGATTGGGGATTGGGTTATGCTTAAGGTATCGCCTATGAAAGGCGTGCAGCGATTCGGGAGGCGGGGAAAGCTTGCACCGAGATATATTAGGCCTTTTTAGATCCTAGAGCGCATTGGAGCTGTGTCATACAGACTAGATCTTCCAGCATCGATGTCTAGTATACACAACGTGTTCCATATTTCTATGCTCAAGAAGCATTTGCATGATGAGGAGCAACAGCGAGTATTGGATGCACCGGAGATCGAACTTCAGGATGATTTTACCACTATTGAGATTCCGGTCTGTGTTCTTGCCAGAGAGGACAAGAAGCTTAGGAACAAAGTAATCCCCTTGATAAAAGTTCAGTGGAACCGAGGAGGCATTGAGGAGATTTCTTGGGAGCGCGAAGAGGACATGCGTCGTGACTACCCAAACTTGGTTGAGCAGGTAAATAAATTCTTGCTTTGATTTTCATGTCTTAACTTATGTGCATACCCTTGGTTATGTTTACATTTAACGCTATAATGAGGATACTTTCGCTTAAATTTTAATCGGTTGGAACACATGGTATATATATGGGGGGTTCCTTGTTTGGATTTTTCACCCGATGTACTAGTTCCACTCGATTAGGATTTGACCGAGAATATTATCATTTTAGATCGTTAGGTGTAAATATCTTTATAATAGTTCATATTGCAAAGTTCGTA